AGGAGACTCGGGCGAATATCTTTAAGTCATCGGCAAAACACAGAATCTCAGGGGTCCCAGGTGAGATTCTTCTGGTACCCCTGAGGGGATGTCAATGGGCTGTGAGCAGAAGTTGATGATCTTGACGGTTTGGGTTCTGTTCCTAAGGTAGTCGCTGATCCACGCAAGCGGGTACCAAAAATTCCAATTCTCTCAAGCCTCATAAGTAAGACGTGATTGACTCGGTCGAAAGCTTGAGCTAAAATCGGTAGATATTGAGTGAACAACTCCACCGCTCTCAAGAAACGCTGAGATTTTATATTGGTACGGCCGGAGGTTAGTTTCGGTTGAGTACTTTGGCCGGAAACCTGCTGCTGTTCCATTAGGCAAGGGTTGATGATACGAGTTAAGAATTTAGTTACTATATTCTCAAAGACCTTAGGGATAGTGTTAAGGATACTGATAGGCATATATTTGGTAATATCCATTTTGTCACCAGTCGTATGAAGAGGCGTGATAAAACTCCGCGGCCAAATCTAAGGAAATACCCCATTACTAAGTGATTCATTGAACAAAATAAACAAAGGACGACATAGTATAAAGCTTCACCTACTGAGCATCAGAGGGGGGGATGCCATCTGGGCCAGGTCCACAAAAGATCCGTAGCTTACACAGTTCCTCGTAAACACCTGAGATGTAGATTCGAAAATCATGAATGTGAGTGTTACTATAAGAAATGCTTTGGCCAATTACACATGCTTTGTTCGAGTATACAGAATGAAAGTCTGTACCAAAGAGATTAGCTAATTCAGGTCCAGTTTCCGCGATTTTACCGTCAAAGAACATGTAAGAAGGGAATCCATAAGTCTGTTTTCTCTAGCATTGACAAAGTTCCAGAAATGTTTTAAATTTTTATCCCTAAGCAATGACACCTCCGAGCATACGACATAATTTGTATAGCAGTCTTTGGAAAGAGTCTTACACTGAGCCCGTAGGTGTTGGGTTAGTTTCATTGTTAACTGTATTTTATTGAAACTCACTCTAGACGACGTCTCAAAATCTTTTGCTTCGAGCAACATATCTTATTTAGACAAAAATGATTTGTCAAGTGCAGCTATGTAAAACTTACTATCGATAATGTCTGAAGGGTACATACGTAAAACGTACTCTAAACAATTTTTTTGATTTGGACGAGTTTCTAGTGAATTGATAAAACTTTGAATTTTTTCTCTATCAAAATTTTATCAAAAATTTTATTATTTTTTATATTTCCATATAAAGGACACTGCACCGGATGCATGGGATTTTGGGTTTCAGTGAAAATCTGTGGAATTTTCAAATTTTGTATAAATTAATGTGCTGATTGAAAGTCCAAATGGCAAAAATTTCGTAACCCCCATATGCCCCATAATATGCCTTTTATAGGCTCTCCCATTCCAGACCCTTTCTAATCTATACAAAACGTTTATTGTTTTTTGGAGTTCTTGTTTTATGGCTGATCCGGTACAGTATAAAAATTTAACAAAAAAGCGATGAGGTAACAGAATGAAGAGAGAAGCTGACTTATTGTGAAAATGGCAATACCTGCGCATCCACCAAATCCAAAGCAATATTCAAAAATTTGCTGAGCTGCATTTAAATAATGAGAGAGTCACATTGGACCTATCTGGCCCTACTACACACTTAAACAAACAAGCTGTAACAAATACACCAAAATATTGAACAAATCAATCAATAAACGTTCTGTAATATTACAAAGGGTCTGGAATAGGAGAGCCTATGAACGACATACTATGGGAGATACGAAATTTCTGCCATTTGGACTTTCAATCAGCACGTTAATTTATACAAAATTGGAAAATTTCACAGATTTTCACCGAAACCCAAAATCCCATGCATCCGGTGCGGGGTCCTTTATCGTGGTCATTTATAATAATTATTCATGACAATGAATAAATCAAAATAACTTCATATCTTCAGCCCTGGAAGAGGAGTAAACAGCTCTGAATACTAGCTTTTGTAAAATATATAGTTAAACAAATATTATCTCCTTCCTATAAAAGTTGTTATTGTTGATGAAGTGAGTTTTCAGTGGACCCGAAATCCCTGACAATTTGGTGTAGATTATTAAATTAGCAAGACGAATAATGGTGCATTAATTTGACCTATACAGGGTGTTCCGAAACTATTGTGCCAAAAATTGAGGAATGATAGATCTCACCAAAATAAACGTTTTTTACTTATAAACCTATAGGCGCATGCGCTTTGGTTAGGTGATAATAGCACATTACAGTCCGCACTGTGGTAGCCACCTTGAACACGGAGAAACGTGTTTGAATAAGCAGAACCTGTGTTATTAAATAATACAGAACCCAAAAAATGCTTGCAGTATTTATTTAAAATAATGATTCACATCAAAAGATGCTCAAAACTACGACCACCCACCTCAATGCATGTGTAACAGCGTTGTAGCAGAAATATCGAGTAGATTTCTGCAGAAAACCTTTCCCGAAACTGTTTCCCTGTATGCCAGACAAAACATTGGGTACCAACACGAAAGACCACCACCGCATTACTTGTTAGCCTTAAGGGAACATCTCAACGAAAGATCTGGAAAGAGTGATTGTTCAGGGGGTCTGGACTCCACGTTCACTAGACCTGACGGAATGCGACTTTTTTTTATGGGGTCATATGAAAGCTCTTGTTTAAGACACTCCAGGAGTATGGAGGTGGGTGGTCATAGCTTTGAGCATCTTCTGCTGTGAATCATTGTTTTTAGTAAATACTGCAAGCATTCCTTGGGTTTTGCATCATTTAATAACACAGTTTCTGCTCCAAACACGTTTCTCCGTGTTAGTCCAGGAGGCAGTGAAATTTTTTAGCACTTATTTTCCCAGTTGGTGTCTATCAAATAGTTTGTTCTCCTGGTGATACAAATCAAGAATTTTTGAGTCTGGCTAAAATTTTCGTATGGATTCACAAGATCAATGAAAAATACAAGTACGCATATATTCCCAGAGATAAATATTTCACATTTACTACAATAGAACATAAAGTATATGAAAATAGCAATTTGGCTTATCTCAGATAGTGGAAGTGAGTCTGGCTGAAAATTTTCGGATCTTCATTTTTTCATTTGCCAGACATATTATCTATACTCCATACTCACAGATTAGCCGAACTATTTTTTTACGTAACTTCAGTATACTTCTCATTAGTAGACCTATTTTTATTACTGGGAAAAAAAAGGGCCGTGCATTCGTAAGCTTTAAAGCATTTTGCGCCTCCTCAACCCATCGGAAAACCCCCCCCTAAAAATATTTGTATCGAAAATCGTCACTGCCTCCTAGACTATGTGTAAGGTGGCTACCACAGCGCGACCTGTAATGTTCTATTATCACATAACCAAAGCGCATGCGCCTATGTGTTTATAAGTAAAAAACGTTTATTTTGGCGCGATCTATCATCCCTTAATTTTTGGCACAATAGTTTCGGAACACCCTGTATAGTGAAATAATTAGCGAGATAATAATTAATAAGTAAACTGATTTGAGCTAAATAGTGGAATAATAAGCAAGATAACTAGTGGATCAGTTTGGGCTGAGTAGTGGGATATAATTATTTGGAACAATTAGTGAAATTTTCTTTGAATTCAAATTGTGACGTTGGTACTGAATTTCAACCGAGTGATTTTTTTGGAAACTTGAGAAGAAGAAACCCGAAGACAAGAAGAACAGTACCGACTCCAGGAAAAGTTTAAATTTTTGAAGAATGAGTTCAAACCGTAATTTCTAAAAAACAGACCAAGACTGGGGAAGGGTAAGATAATAAATTCAAGCTTGCAATGCAAGACGTACATAAAGAAGTTGGTAGTGTTCGTTAGGAAGTTGGAACTGTTCGCCAGGAAGTTTTCCACCAATACTTAAATGGATATGTAGTGTTCAGAAAAAAATCAAGCAATCGGAATGTGACTTGACTTGAGATCAGGAAATGTTTCAGCTTCGCTCGCAACAGGTATTAAATTTAAACCACCTCCATACGATGGTCATCAGACATCTTGGACAATGTACAGACGTCACCTTGAGACTGTTGCAATGGCTAATGGAGATCTGATGACATGGCTACAGGGTTCAATTGTAAGATGGCGTAGCCCTACCTTATTAGACCTACTAAAAACTTTTCCGTCAGCGTCCAAATAAAATTATTTTGCGCTTGTTGATGCGTTAGAGCGTTGATGTGACCGACAACAGCTCTACAAGTTACTTTTTGGAGGTATTCTCTTGACTGTTTTCGAACTTGAGAAGGATTTGAATAAAACTAACTGAAGTTTATTCTTACGTTTCAGGAAAAAAATACATTAAATTTTCAATAGGCAAGTTATTCAATTCAGAGAACTCTCTGAGAAACAGGCACTAAACAAAGAAGTGATTACATTTACAGAACTACAATTAACTATGACAGACAGAATCAAACTTTCACAACACGAAAACGAGAATTAAAAAAAAATCAAGAGCACACAATCAGCTATATCTAGTTTGTTCTGTGTCAGGAGTAGGACTGATTTGGAATTGAAAATCTTAACAAATTGTGGTATGTGTTCCCTGTGTTGATACGCATTCCTGGATTTTAGGTGTACCAGCTAAGGACAAGATAACAGAAAGCTGTGGACCGTTAACAACTCCGAAAATGCTGCTTATAGCCACACCAGCAAGTAACTCTAATCAGAGTTTCATGAAACGTGTTTCTGCTGTTATTTTGCAAACTACCTAGGTATTTCTATTGACTTTTTGAAGATATGAAGATATGTTTACCATTTTTTTTTTTGTAAAAGCAAGGTGAACTAATATAATATAGGCAGGTACCTACACCAGCATATGATATACTGCCTGATCATCCTCGATCCTTGCAGCCTCTAAAATGCTTCATGTCAGCCAGGCATAAAGACATGAATAAGTTTCTTAATAAATCAATGTTGTGACCTTGCTTTTCCAAATATGTTTTTCTATTTTATTTACACTCACCTAAGACAATAATTGAGCAAATAAAAAATATATTTTCCATATTAAATTAATGCTATTTTGGTATAATTTTCACTTTTTTCACAAGAAGTTATAATATTTATCACTATAATATCACATTTCGCGAAAGTTGTTTTCTTTGGCGCGCACTACGAAATTTTACTTTCGTGCTCACGGTGTGGCTGATGGTTAACGACAAGAAGCGAAACCGTTTCTTTTGCTGACTCTGGGCTTCTCAATGCTAACCCAAGGAATAATAGAAAGTGGGTATTCGTGAGTGGAGTTTTTGGTTTTGTGTTGAAGACACGTTAAACGATAATCTAGGGGGTAAAATAATGAAGTAATACTTGTTGTTTATATAGACGGTTTGCTCTGAAGGAAACTTGAGCCGGAGTGAATTGAAACTTATTTGATTAAGAGCAATTTAGCCCAATAAACAAATTAATGCTTTTTCTATTTTCACCTAACATTGCTTAGATTTGTGATGTGATGATAATCATAAAAGAGAAATAAAATCAACGAAAATTTCGAAAAATCTACTGAAGAAACTAATGGCCAAAAAAAAACTTCTGACAATCATTTAGAAAAAAAGACGTACCTACATAGGTACGAAACACAAAAAAAATTTCTTAGTGAAACTATTATGCTCTTGTATAATTCTCTGGTGAGACCACATTTGGAATATGCTAGTAATATTTGGAATCCAACAACTGCCAGTAAGCACCAATGCAATATAATAGAAAAAGTTCAAAAAAACTGGATATTTTCAATGTCTGCATCAATCAGCTAAGAAAACTTTTACGCTGCATCAAGAATTAGTCCGTAGAAATTATGTTCGTCTTTTTATTGTCATTGCTTTTGCTTTTATTAGTATTAAAGTAGGTACCTACTTGCTTTGAATTTCACACGGAAGATCTAAAAATTATTTATTTGGAAGTACCTATCTAAGCATTTTTAATTCGTTTCATATCGCAAATTCAAGTGCATTAATTAGGATGGCCTATTTTGGGCCGATCTAAATCTAGCCAAATTTTTCAATAACATTGTTTTTGCATTTATTTTTATTTATTCAGTGAATGTTTTACCAACTCTGGGAAAACCTGCAGGTTCTGGAGGAGTAGCAATTATGATGCTAAAAATTGATCCGATTTCTTGCATATCGTCTCCAGTCTGATAAATTGAGGTGCTTGATATTATTGGACCTGCAGTTCACGCCAATATAATTTAATCCCTATATCTGGTACAAATGATTTATTTCTTCCAAAGAGTCTAAAAAAATATCAAGAACAAACATTATTTTTCTAGAACTTCGTTGACCAGTCAGAAACAACTACTCCGAGGGCAAATACCCCTACCGGCGTTGAACTACACTGATTGGTCTGAGCTTTCGTTGGCAATGGAAATTATTAAAAAGTTCAATTTTGTTTGGACAGGGAGCTTCAGTCTATGTCCTTCTGATGAGTCCTAATAAGGACGAAACGCGTCAAGGATTGGCACGGGAAGCCTGACTCCACTGCTCAGTGGGCCGATTCCCAAACAGGGACCGTAGTGCCCCTGTATTCACGTTGGTCATTACCTGAAAAAAATCTTTTCAATAATTATTTTTCTAGTTTAACTACCTACATCAATTAAAGAGCTCCCACTTGTTAAAAACATTCAGCTACCTGCTACCTACTTATAATTCTGAGGTGCCAAAATTATACCTTGGATGAAATTTATTTTCGTTTACGTTTATCTCGTAGTCCCAAAAAGTTCTTGCAAAAATGCTCTCAAACATCCAACGGTTCTTACCTGGCGGCTAGTCAATGAATATAGGGATACGCCCTACCTGTCCACTAGTCTACCTAAAGATACACATAAGTATAATGTATGCCCAGTATGGTATTATTTAATTTCGAAATTTTATTAGAATTACAGTTTGAAATGGCAGGCACTTTTGCATCGATCATACCCACCTCAACCTATTTAAGGTACATTATTGTAACTTTCATAGAAAAAGCAAATTCAATTTAAAAATGTAGTTTTATTTTCTCTCTTGAAAAAAAAATGTAATACAGCCCTTGCCTCTGGACCCCTATATTATTAAAGAATTATCAGAATCACCACTAATTCGCAAACCTCTCCTGTAGGTAACAATTTTACGAATGTGAGACTTTTGTGAGCATTTTAACGTTTTTTTTTCCCATCTCTGCCTCATCTTCTTTTATCATGGGCGCTTTGTAATTATCCAAAAACCGGAAAAATTGGTCAAAAGAATTTTTAGAAGGACCCTATAATTTTGATTCTATTTCTTGTGGGAATTTCTTGTGTGTTTTATTATGATTTGGGATTTACCCTAGAAAAATATAACAGTATAGGAAATAAATGTGTGAATGACACACACAGAGTCGAGTGAATTTAATGTTTGCAGTGGGAATCTTGGGATTTACCATAATCAATAGAGCAAACAATTAGGCACAATAATTAAACAATGTCAGTTACTTTCAAGACATAAAATAATGACTCGAAATGCATTAAATCACAATTTTTTTCCAATCCCCCCGACCCAATATTATCGGAGTGCTGCCGCTGTATAAACTGGAATTGGGATTTGAGATTATAATACATTTTCCCAAAGAAATATCAATAATAAAAAACATAGTTATGATTTAGGGATAATAATATGTAATTGTAAACAAACACTTCATTAATAAATAATTGATGTTGCCATATATCTCCTATGCTTGAGGCCTTGAGGGCAAAGAAGAATTAATTTAATTGAAAAAAGCCTACCTATGGACAAGAGGAAATTTTTGAATCTTCCGGTCTTCGACTACTTGATTTTTTTTAGTTGAATGAAGGGTTTAGTCAATAATTTAAAAATATTTTTTTGCTGAAAACCCTCATGTAACTACCGCATTAAATTTTTCCAGAAAAATCCAAATACGATATTCTCTAATAGCAGACCATTAAATTTTCTATAAAATCCCGAAATTTCAACCCTGAACAAGTTGGGAAATTTCAAAAATTACAATAGTGATGGCTTCAAAGAAAAATCAGCTGTCATATATAGTATATATAGGGTGTCCCAGGTAAAAGTAACTACATGGGTATTTCGGAAATTGCTGGTGATAAATTGAGTAAAATTATCACAAAAATCTCACAATTTTTTTTTTAGAACTGATGTAGGACAGAACCTTTCCCCTGAACAAAAGGATGTTCTTCAAACTAATTTACATGTTTTTAAGTCTAGTAGTCAGCTCACTCCTTTTGCAGAGCATTCCATTAATCTCATAGATGAAACTCTAATTTCTGTACCTCCGTATCGCATGTCTGAAATAAGAAAAGAGCAATTGCGAATAGAAATTAATAAACCCATAGCCGATGGAACTATAGAAGAGTGCGAGTCTCCCTATGCTGCTCCTGTGGTTCTTGTTCGAAAGAAAGATGGTGGCATTAGGTTGACTGTTGATTACCGCAAGTTGAATGCGAAAACAATAGCCGTATTGATGATAGGTACATTACATGCTGCAAAGAAAACTCGTTTTATGACAACTTTGGATTTAAGATCTGGTTATCATCAAGTAGCAGTCAAACCATCTGATCGAGACAAAACTGGTTTTATTTGTTCTTCTGGGACTTTTAGATATACAATAAGGATGCCATTTAGATTACGAAATACTCCGTCCACATTTCAAAAACCAATTGATAGATTTCGTTCAAGATATTAACATATTATAGCGTACCTCGATGATATAATTATTTTATCAAACTCATTTGAACTTCATGTTAGTGATTTACAAAAAGTTTTTGATCGATCAAAACTATTCAAACTTCAATTAAACCGTTCAAAATGCAAATTTTCTTGTTCTTCCTCGGTCATGTAATAACGTCTTCTGGTATTGCTGCAAACCCAGATAAAGTTTCTGCTATTTCTAAAATACCAAATCCTCGAAATGTCAAGGAACTACTTTCTTTTCTACAAACTTGTTCCTGGTTTCGACGTTTTATAAAAAACTTTGCAGAAATTTCAAAACCTCTTACTTTTCTCACTAAAAAGGAAGTCAAATGGATCTGGGGCTCAGATCAAGTCGAGGCTTTTGAAAATCTGAAATCGCTTTTAACGTCTAGTCCTTTTCTTCAAGACGGATGCCTCTAGCTATGCTATTGGCGCATGTTCATTTCAGGGGGAGGGGTCAGAAGAAAGACCTATAGAATATGCCAGTCGTTTATTAACATCAGCTGAGCAAAACTACAGTACAACAGAGCGAGAAGCCCTAGCAGACGTTTGGTCCGTGACTGACAAATTTAGAGGCTATTTAGAATATGTTAATGTTATCGTCAAAGTGATCATCAGCCCTTGAAATGGCGTATGACAGACAAATCACCTTCGGGCAGATTAGCAAGATGGTCTTTAGGTTTGCAGAAGCCAATCTTGTTTTTGTTGATTTACCTAGACAAAGCGCAAATCAGATCAGACAAATAAATGACCCAGTTCTCGATAAAATAATCCAATGTTTTGAAAACTCTGATAATGGTTCTAATACTGATTTTAAAAGATGGACTGAGAGAGGCTACATCATGAACTGTGGCGTACTATACCGCTATGTCCCTGAATTAGGTGAATATGAAGCTCAAAAAGTAGTACCGAAATCCCAAGCTCCTCAAATCCTTGCCGAGTACCACCATTCTGCATTAGCTGGTCATTATGGTGTAGAACGTACTTATCAAAGAATTGCAAGTCGTTTCTTTTGGCCTGGAATGAGAAGAACCATACCTGATTAGGTTAGTAAATGTGTAGAGTGCCAACGTTATAAAGCTATAAATCTTAAACCTGCAGGACAAATACAGACTCCTATTCAAAGACAGCGTTTTGAAACTATCTCTATTGATTTACTTGGTCCATCACCTGAAATGCACGACTATTACAAATGGATTTTCATAGTAGAAGATACTACAAGTAGATGGATAGAACTTTTTCCATTGACGGTAGCGTCCACTGAAAATTGTGCTCGTTGCCAAATAGATGAAGTTATATTTGTTATAGCGTTCCCAGGCGTGTTATAAGTGATAATGGTTCCCAATTGTAAGTGCAATAATGCAACAAGTTGCATATTGCCTAGGATTTGACCAAATTTTAATTCCCATATACCACCCAGAAGCTAACCCTACAGAACGGAAAAATCGAGATCTAAAGACTCACATCCATACTTGTTTCCATACTTGTTGGTAATGACCATACAAA